TTTCGGAAAATTACTAACTCGGGGGCCAGAAAAGTTAGGGAGCTAGAATTTAAGGGAAATTTTATGCGCCCATGTGCGACACCGAAAATTTTAAATACAGCTTCTACATATGCCTACATTTCACTTAAGGACACGCGAAGTTTGGCGGGGAGTCTTCCAAGTCCGAATCAGACGAGGCAGAAAGCTGGAATTTAAGAGTATCTCCTGCCCATACGGAACTCTGGATACATGAAAGTTTTGGCCGATCAGAATATCCCGACGATTTCTGCACATATCATTGTAAAGCAGTACGCATCTTTGGCAGCAAACATCTGCTGAATATGTTCGGGATCTGATCTGTCGGACAGAATTGTTCAAAATGCTTGATTGCACCACCTACCCTGATGCGTACCGCTGTTTATTGCCGATGAAAGAAAATTTTTAGAGGGATCGAACTGATCCACTCCCAAATCAAAGCATTTCCAAAACTGGGGTTTGTTATATCGCTGTGAAACTGAGGATAGCCGAATGGGACACGATTTGCAGGGCCTGTTTCCTTTGTAAAGAACTGAATGCATGAGGACCGGCCAAACAAGCGCCTACACTGGTGTCGCCACCACCGTCACTTCATATGTATTAAGAGAGCGTATCAGTCTGCATCGTTGACGGCGTAGGCATGACGGAAAGCTGCGGAAGTGCTGGGCGCGCTGCAGCTCCGAGCGACGTTGCCTGGACGGCCATAGCACTACTTTCCGGGAGAGGGAGATGAGGAGCCCTTCCTTTAGCGTCTTTCGCTGTTACTCAACAAAACTCATGCTGAGTCTCTGAAAAGGTTTCAGTGCGTTTTGAATAGTGCTGTTGCAGTGAATGCTTGGAAAAAACACGAGAAAGTGAGAACAAGCCTGGTAAATGCCGAAATGAGTTTTGCTTGTACTACGTACGATAAGCTTTCCTTTAGGACCATTTGGAACCTCTCCCATCTTAGCGTCACCGTTCGCACGTCTAACTCCGAAAAAACTTTTCTTCGTTGGAAAAGAGGACGGGCCTCGCTCTTCACTCCCCCAGCCAGGCCTGCATTCAAAATCCTCACATTAAAAGAAATCAACACAATCGATCTTGAAAAGCATCATTCCCAGAACAGTGCGTCACTCGAAGTGCGCACTCCCTCATTTGACGCTTCCCACTGCGCTTGTCCCCGTTGTGTCGGCGGTTACTGCTCAGAGAAGTGATGTGCGCGCCGCTGCATTTGCGGGAATTGGCCGTTACCTCACTGAGTGCAAAGCGCGGCTCCGCATCGAACAGTGCGCCGTTGCACGTTCGGTTTGGCTGCTTATTTGAGCTGTCTTTGTCGTCCTTCGCTGCAGCTTTGCATTCCTCGGCGTTCGATGACCATGCACCGTGCCTGCTTCTCGAATTCTGTCGGCTGTCCTTTTTTGTTTGCTCGGATGGGGCATCAGGATGCACGAGGTCAACGGGGACGATCACAATCCTCTTCGCTGACAAACATCGGTCTCGGTCGGCGCGATTCGAGCAGTTCAATTTGCGTAGGAATGAGAGAAATGCCCTGCATCGCATATTCCGAAGTGCCATGTGCCTCCTCGCCTTCGTCCTCGTGCTCCTCTTCGTCGATTCTCTTTTCGTCTGTTGTGTGGGCCCTATTTGCTTCCCATGAGGCCCGGTTGAGGGGAAGACTCGAATCGTACCAAATTCTGATTGTAAGGTGACCTGTGAAGGCCCTGTTCGTCTCGTTTGTCTATTGCTTCCAGCGCTGTGCTCTAGAAATTGGGCGTGATCGCGTGTCGCAGGAAAAACGAAAATCCGGCTCATCTGTCAATTCATTTGTCTGTGTGTCTGTCTGTGTGTATATGTATGTTTATAACATATATATATATACATGTATGTATATATGTACATGTATATGTATGTGTATATATGTATATGTATGTAAACATATATGTATATATGTACATGTTCATATATATATAACATATATGTATATATGTACATGTTCATATATATATACATGTATGTGTGTGTATGTGTCTGAGTTGCTGCTCGTTAACCTGTTGCTCGTTCCGTGGCAACTTTTTTCCGGGCGACGGTTCGGGTAAGTGATTCGCTACGCTGGCACCAGTGCGGCATGTTGGATGCCCGCGCTCCTTCGAGGAGCCTTGGCGCTTATTTTGCGTGAGAAGTGCTGTGGCGCACGGCGATGTGACCGAAAATGTGCGAAAGTGAATACCAATTTGGCTAGAAGAATGGAACAGTATGCAAGGATAGTGTGGTTTTGGGGAGCATAGGATTCGTGACCGCTTCCTCCCTCGCCCTCAGCACTCTCCCTCCAGCCTTCGAAGCTAAGTTTTTTTTCTCGAGGATTTCGTGGGGAAATGGACCGTGCTTTTGTGCTGTAAAAGATCGGAAAATCATCTCTGAAAAGGCATTTTGTTCCGGAAAAATCCTTTGCAGTGTCTTTTTCAGGTATTTGCACCTCGACTGAACTCTCTGCTGTTGAGTGCCAAAATCCGAAAAGTCCCGTTTCCGGAGCTCTCTCTGGCGCTGTCTGGCTGGAAAGCCAGTTGAGATTAATCGACCTATGCCTGCCTCCCAGATATGCAGATTTTGTAAATAAACTTGTTCTGAAATACAGATGTGGCCGATTCTTATGCGCGAGTGGGTTCTTGTCTCGAAAAGATGGCCCTGCAAGAAACGGATCGTGATTTACAGAAGGAACTGATACTGGGTGCCGACATTTTCGAAAAACTGAAAAAACACGAGGTTCGCATGCACAGTTTTTCTGTGGATGAGTGAATGGTTTTTCAGTTTCTTTGATTCATTTCCCATCGTTGCAAGCTAACTATATGCGAGTGTGTCTTTCGTAATTTTTTCTCCTATTGATCAGTGAAGCAAAAGAATTCTAGAGTTGTTTTTCACTGCTGTGGTTTTTTCAACCGATTGGCTTTTTATGCGTTTTGTGCTGTGTAACAGCAGTACAAAACGCATATTGTCGTGGGGTTGTCTGTGTTTGTGTCAGCAGCAACTTGTCCGCAACTTTCAGCTCGGGAGCCACAAAAGCTAGAAAACTGAAAATCTAGAGTTATGTTCCACGCAGATGCGTGACTCCGCAAATTTAAATGCAAACTCCCCGTACCGCGGGTGACACCTACGGTCTCATAAAAGTTTTGGCGGGGAAAATTATTATTTCGGAAACCACGGAAGCTAGGAAGCTGAAATTTCGTGGGTATATCCCTTGCCCTCGTGCGATCCAGAAAATTTAAATTTAGCCTTCCCGTACCCGCGGGTAACACCTACGGCTCCGTAGAAGTTTTGGCAAGGGAAATTATTATCTCGGGAACCGCGGAATCTGGAGAGCTGAAATTTTGGGGGACTGTTCCCTGCCCACGTGCA